CAGTCTGAGAAGAGAATGGCATATCCTGGAAAATGAGGAACTAAAAATAACTACTCATGTGGTCCCTCTGGATGTCTGAATCAGCTGCAGGACCAGCCAGCTTCTACTCTTGGTACAGTGGTGGTAGAGGGAAATGTTCCAGCCAGCCCTGGATGCTGCATGTTGGCACCTGAGTGAGGAGGTCTTGCTGGATCAGACTAGCTCCATGCAGAGCCAGTGAGAGGGACAGCTGCACAAGTTAACTACTTTATACTGATTCAGTAAACCAGTTTGAGCTGATGAAGGCTTAACTAAGAAGTCTGGGGTGTCTAGTTTAGGTAGGGCACTTCTACTTTTATCCCCATGTCATCCAAATCTACTAAGAACAAATGAAACTTTTGGAAATTCTGACATGCGATGTCTGCTAACATGATGAAATGTATAATTGATAGATAAGATAATTGAAGAGATGTGCCCTTGGAAAGAAACATATCTGAAAATAGTAGCTGAAGATACTCTTTCAGCCTAGGATACCAAGGGTTCAGTCCATGTACGTTGTTCCTTTTCTATTAAAAATCAAAAATTTTGGAAGTAATTTTAAAATGTATTTCACAGCCCCTAAAAATGCTCATTTTACAAAAAAGTCAAGTATTTCTTGTAGAAGGTTTAAATATTGTGTCTTCAAATGTCTTTATATATATATATATATATATGTATATATGTATATATATCTACTGGTTTTGCCTTCAGATTGAGTGTATTTTCCTGACAGTAGCTGCTATGGGGCTGTGGTTTGGATTTGTTGGAAACAGTGTTGGTAACACAGGGATGTTTTAGGTCTCCCTGAGAGAGCTGTGTGCCAAGACTTAACTACCCTGGTTCTACAGTTTTCTGTTTCTTCATGCACAGACCTGCCTGCTGCAGCTTCTGTGCCATGTAGCAGAGCTTCATCACCAGTACTTACTGGGGTCAGGGTCAACCCAAAGCACAGTAAACACACCAAGGAGCATGAGAGGAACTGTAAGTTATTCTCTGTTTGCACCAGTTCTATTTGTGCAAGCTACTGCTAGACATGCTTCCCATTGAAAAGGCTGGCATCAGCAATATTACCATGTGACTAAAGTGGGCTACTTTTAAAGTAAACTGATGGGATTTCTGGTGAAAATGCAGCCCACCATGGCACAGACAGCAGAAATCTCCACTCTAGCACTAACCTGAATGGGGAGTCCTGAGCTGGAGTGCCATGTTTCTCATATCTCTCTTAATGTCCAAGTGGTTTTATTTAATAAGGGATGACTTTTCAGCCTGAGCACAGCAGTAGAGTCTGAGGTTTCTGGACCTGAGCTGGCACAGAGTTAACACAATTGGGCCAGCTCACTACTGCAATGTCGTGTACAGATGTAATTCTTTAGACTTAATTTCTGTGTTCACAATGTAGGGCTATTGAGCTGCTGTCCTCTGGGTGAGAGGGGCCAGCTACTGTCTCTGATAGTTGGCAAGACAGAGGTCTGCGTCTCTTTCAAACAACAGGAGGCGTACCTAATATTTTCAGAAATATTTGTACTTGCTTTAAAAACCAGTCTTGTACTGTTACTGAGATTTAAAAGGGATGTTTTGATTCCTGGATATGAACTAAGAAGTGAGACCTTTCCTGATACAAAGTGAAACGTTCCCCTCTGAGTGGGAGAGTCACCACTATGATATACGAGAGATTTCCTTTTCTGTTTTCCAGTGCTGCAGCTAAGTTGTTATTGAGTGACTGGTAGGTATCATGTCAGCCTTGGTTAACTGTATTACCAGTATTGGACTCTGTAGAGAGATCTCAAATGCCCTGGCTGTAGCAGAAACTATAAAAAGACAGTAAGGCATTTTTTGGGCTTTCGGCCCACAAGAATCTTACAGAATTTTATTTTTTTTACCTTCTATTTGGAGACTAGTGCTATATTGATAAATTTTCTTCTGTATGAAGGCATTTTTTACAGTACTTACATTCATGCATTAAATAATCTTTATCCATTTGGAGGAGCAGTTTGATCAATTACAAAGGTAATTGATCCCTCACTGTTGGGAACTGAGGAAGCTCAGTAATACTTGGCCTGCAAAAGCTTGCACAGGCTTATCACTTATTCTGGGCCAGAATTTTATAGACATCCAATTTCACAGTTCCTAATTTAACCACATCAGCATGTCTTAAACCTGTCCTAAGCTGTAGCTGTTCTGAAATCCTTTGCTGTTGATTAATATCTTGGCCTCCTGCCCGTGAACAATATTAGCAGCTTTCTATGTGACATTCACATTCAGTTCTAATCAGATTATAAAAGTAAAATATCATGTAAAATATGTGAGAACAGATCTTTCCAGATTATTCCGAAACTGTCTGCCAAGTACTTTGAGATTGTTCTGGTAAACACCTAAAATCATCCATCCAAGATCTTTTTGATAAATCACCACTTAAAAAAAGGAGGGAAACATTTTCCTATGCTCTTCTTGGTGCTAAAATGCAGGAATTCAGTGGCAGGTCCATACTCCAGTGTGGTCCCTGTTACGTCAACACTCAGGTGGCAGGTCAGGGGAAGTTTCCATTTACCAAGGAGCATGGATATAGGCTTTTGTAAAGATCTGTCTACAAGAGAAGGTAAAGTTTAGCTGTGCTATGTCTGGGTCAAGGTGTGCCAGTGATTTCTGACTGATGACATTGTACGCAAGTACAGACTTGGGCACAGTGTGATGCAGAGAGACCTGCAATACAGAAAAATCAGTGTTACATTCTCCACCCAGATTTGTGAGGCAGGCGTGTGTGTAACTGTGGTATTAACATATAGAGAGCAGATGATATGATTTTGGCTGTATGGTCTAATTCCTTGCCAAGTTTCCAGTAGCTTAACCATGATCTAATTTGAAATAATTAAATCAGTTATTTTTTTTTAGAACGTCTTTCTCATCTATAGGGCTATGAATATCATCACTGCAATCATAGCTAGAATATTATAAGTTCAAGTCATAAAATTTACAAAACTCTCTGCAAACAAAAATCACTAAAGCAGATTGCTAACTTGTGATCCTGAACACTATTGTGATAGTTGTGTCATAGGTGGTGTAGAAACCATGGTTTTAAGCTTGTACAGCTTTTATAAAGCTGGCCTGTAAAAGTTAAATCCAGACCTGTATCTAGAATTCAGTTTCTTAAGTCCATGTTACATCTTCTACCAGATTGCTGTTTGATGAAGCTCCTAGACAGAGAAATCTAGATCTGATTTGCTGTTTGATCTTAAACCAATATGCAGATTGAACACAGGCAATATGAGGGAAAAGTGTGGGGTTGAGTAGAAATGCAGGGACATATGTTTTATATTTGATTTAGTTTGGTAGAGCACATTACACTCTTGACTTCTGGTACATTAAAAATATAATTGCATGTGATGGAAATTCACAATTCAGACTTTATTCTGCCTTTTTTGTACTAATTTCTTGTGAGTTTTAGCACAATTAATAGGTAAAATACAAAAATTGTACTACCCACTTTTCTAAAACCAGTGGCTTCAAATATCTTTAAGTCTAAACAACAAAAATGTAAATCTTTTTCATAAATGGACATGTGTGGACACAACTTAGGATTTTAACTTGAAACAAAAGCAACACTTTAGCTTCAGCCAGAGAGAGCCCGGGTTTTGTTCATCATAGTTTTCTTGTATTCCTAAAATTGTATTTGTATTCAGTTTCATTTGAATATGTTTTTGATTTGTCCAAACAGCAGATGGCTGTGATAAAGAGTCTGTTTTTAACTTAGAACTTTCCATTCCACATTCCTCTACTATTCATAGCACACCAGTCATAGTAGTCTCCAGTACACATAAAAGAAGGCAGTTCAACTTGCAGATGCAGTTACCCTCAAATATGTGAGTATTTACAAACCCATAGCATTATTTCTTTTTAATATTGAGAGGACCACATACTAGATATAGAAGTGGATATTTTTGCATCTCTGCCACTCTCATGAAATGTGAGACACTGGAACAGAAACTAAAGCTGTGTCTGCAGCAAAGAACCCCTGTATTTAAAATTAGATTCATGTAGTCTGTGTTCCTATGGGCAGAGGGGGATTATCATTGGCAGAGAAATTTGCTCTTGAAGACAAAGTTGTGGGATTTCAGCCTAAATTGTCAAGGAACATGGACAATTAAATACTCATCTGATTAAATAACAAGATTACCTAAAATGTGTAAGAAAAAAGGCATTTGTTCAAGAGCAATGTCTTTTTATTACTGACGTTTTACAAAGAAGAATTTGGTGCTTTTGTAAGCAAATACTTTTTTTCTTCATTTGTTATGTTAAACAAAACCAATTTTCTAAAATGTCTTTAAAGGTTTCCTTTGAAATTAATTTGACAGAAAGTATAATTTCTGTTTATTGTATTTTCAAGCAAATAACATCAAGCAAACAAATTCTTTTTTCTTATAGTTTGAAACATGCAACACACTTCTAAAAAGTAAACTCTTGAGAGTTTTTTTGTATAGAAGCTTGAACTGTAGAAATAGGGATTTTTTTCTTGATGGTCTCTTTCAGTTCATATGCTTTTCCAGAGAGAAGAATTTAATCTCAAAAATTAGAAAACAATTTTTTTGGTACATAAGTTTCCATAAGATTGACAACTTGTCCATTCCTTCTTTAATATTTATGACTATGTATGACAAATACTTATTCCTTAGAAATATAATTCCTGCTACTTCACTCAAAACTCCATTTTCAATATGTTACCAAATAGATTTTTTTCTTTTCTGCTGCTGAGACTAACCTGAGTTTGCTATTGTTTGAACAGCCTGTGTTTTCAACCTATGTGTAGCTGGAGGCAAGCAGTATAACAGTTCACATCAAACAGTAAACTCAGCATACAGAAAAATATATACAAATAATTTCCTTCAATAAATACATGCTACATGCTTACTACACCCTACAGAATTGCATGATTATAATTTTGTTAAATTAAGAATTATTTTATCTCACCGATAACTATAGACATGGTTCTAATTCATTTCCACTGAGTTCTTCATTTCAACAACCAAAATGCCATCATGGCAGAAAAGTGCAGACAAGTCTTTGTTCTCCACTCCGTCAGGTAATTTGTATTGTCTGGTGAAGCTTCTGGATATGAAACCATGTTCATCCATCCTGGGCCCATGCTGAGCTTTAATCAGGAGCCAGCCTTCGAAAGTCTGGATAATGATATCTTCGGGGCGGAACTGCACAACATCCAGCAAGACCCGAAAATGTGTGTTTTCCTCCTCCTGGCTGCTCTTCCTGGCCCCAGCCGTGCTTTCTGTGGTGCACCTTCGGTCGCTCAGTGCAGTGGTGGCAGGGCCTGGCAAAGCATATAAAAGGTGGTTCAGTTTGTGTGCTTCCAGCTCTTGGTCAACAAACTGCTCCTGGTAGCGTACAGGAGTTTCCACCCAATGTCTTATGACAGCTTCTGCCATTGCTGAGGCAGAAAATCAGCTGCTACTCCTGTGTCGGAAACTGCAGAGTCAGACTGAGCTTTTCCCAGACGTGTGTCGTACCCGCAGACCAGTCTATCAGTTGATGTTGCCTTTCACTTTTAGAACAGGCAGAGCTCAACATTTAGTACAGTGTCCTGTGCTCCAGTGCTATGAGACTTGTTTCATCTTGTATCCACTAACAATAGAGCACTATTTATAGTGATGCAGTCTTGAGTGGCTTAAACACATGCATGTCTTTCACGCAGGACTAGTAAAAGAAAAATTTTAAGGCATGTCTTCTTATTGCAATTTTGTGCTGTTTATAATTATGAATAATGATTACACAAATAATGTGAAAGATTTTTTAATTTAAATTGAAGTTGAATACTTTTGTTTTTCCAAGGGATACATGGCAATAAGTACAAAATCTAATTTTTAATTGATTTCTAATTGAATTGCATATTCTAATTGAAACGTGTAGCTAGTGAGGGAAGAGGTTTAATTACCTTGGCAGCAGGAATGCAGCAGATTTCTGGTTAGCTAAACTTAAAATTAGCAAGTGCATTGGTCATTTTTGCAGAAGCTGTGCATAGGTGAAATTTGGGCATGGTCACCCCAGGACACCATGTTACTGGTGGGAGGAGGAAACCATCTCAGCCCAAAAAGGGGGAGCCTGAAGGGCTGAATCTGAAATTTTAGGGACTTACAAACACAGCAGAGACGTCTCCAGCAGGTCAGGAATTTAGACACAAGAGTGCAGACAAACTACAATTAAAGCTCATGCTTCAGAGCTCCCAGAAGAGGGTAGAGATATTTTCCCTCAAGAGCATAGTCAAGACTATTCTAAATCCTTAATGCTATCACATTGTCCCAGTAACCATCATCTTCTGTTGCTTAACAACTTGAACCTGTGATCTCACCTACTGCAGGTGTCTGCAAAGCAGGACTGATGACCTCCAGAGCCCTCTGAGGTGTAATTATGGAATCACAAAATGTTTGGGAATGCAAGTGACCTCTGGAGATCATTTATACCAATCCCCCAGCTAAATCAGATTCACCTAGAACAGGTTGCACAGGATCACATCCAGGTGGGATTCGAGTATCTCCTGAGAAGGAGCTTCTACAACCTCTGGCTTGTAATGTTCTTGTTATTCTGTGATTGTAGGGCAGATAATGCCTACAAAGGTCAATAGTTTGTTTAACAAAAGCTAAGAGAAAAGTACAATAAAGAAGGAAAGTAATTTCTAAATTTTAGTATGTTTGCTAGATATCACTCTAGCTGAGCTTGGTAATGTGAAGAGGAATGTGTTATGGCAATTGACGGTGAAGATTTTTAAATTTGATTTGTTAGATGTAGTAAGAATTGCCCTAGAGCTAGAAATAATAAAATAAGATACTTTTATTCCTTCTTGTTTGGCTATCATTGTTCAGAGTTCTGTCTCTCCTTTGTCCTTACACGTTCTGTTACCGTAGTTATTATAGGATCTTTGGTTGCTAATGGAGTAATGAAGAAAGAGACAACTAAACTTTGATATTTTATCAGATATTAACTTCTTTATTGCATTAATAGCAGGGCAGGATTACCAGATGTATGTGTAATTAAAGCTTTAAAACTGCCATTTTATTTTAAACTTAAAAAGGCTGCATTGGAAGGTAAGGAAATTTTCAAAAGTTCAAGATGATTTACATTAATGACAAACTGTTTAATTGAGTATTGTGAGAGAGAGTATTGTGAGTAAGGAGAGTTAGGCTACTTTATTTAACTGTTGGCTCTTTTCCTGTTAAAGAGTCCTCCAGAAATAATTTAAAAATGCAATTCTGAATGTATGGCTGACTAAAATAGTTATAAAACCAGGCTGGAGCATTGCCTGTTACCTGTTCAGCTGTTTTCTCTTTTGCTAGCAAATGATTCACTTGACGAGGAAACTTTAACCCTGAAGTGAAGCAGTATGCCTGGCTGGTTGTGATATTATGCTTCTACAGATTCCTGAAAGCTATTGGTGTCCCTAATTAATTCTGTGATGATAGCCTGACTTATTTTACTTCAATTTTGCATTTCATTAATAAATGTACTGTACAGGAATATCACTTCTAAATTTTATTTTATTTATTTCCATTATCTCTGGAAAAAGATACACTTGCCCATAGCTACACTTCAAATTAAAACAAAGTCACCATCTCACTGCAAGTCACTGTGGGACAGCTGTATCTATTCCCAGAAACAGCTGTGTTAGTCTTTCAAATGTCTGTGCTAAGCATACTTGAAGCTATCTGGTCTAATTAGCCAGCAAGATGCTTTGAATATCCTGTGGAACCTGTTTCTGCTTTCCCATCCTGCCCTCTCCTCTGTTCAGTCCCTTCTCTCAGTTTGTCACCTGTGGGCTTATGAATTAGCGCAATGCTTTTTATCTCTTTGTTACTAACGCCAAGTGGAACACGCGAGCACCCTTGATTTTCGGCGTTCAAATTTAAACTTCTGAGGCACTTCTGATGCCTTATGGCGCCGTACTCTTCCAATACCTACACCAGGATTCGGTCCAGCAAGACGTTTTAATAACAGTTGATTACTGTGGTCTTTTTAAACCTTCAGAGCAGATCCAACAGGAGCAGGATCGATGACCTAAATCACCAGTTCGGTGCCTCACGTTTTGTTTCCCGATTTTACCGTGCCTGCGAAGGCCTCTCTCCGTGCTGCCCAGCGGGTAGGAGACCGCCCGGGGAAAGCGCAGCAGAGCTGCTCTTCCGAAGCAGCAGCGGGCGGCTCGGCCACCCGCGCCGTCCCCGCCGTCCCCGCGCTGTCCCACCCGTCCCTCCCCGC